CCCCCCCCGGGCCCCCCCCCCCCCCCCCCCCTTTGCTGATCATGGGGCAGTTGGGCCTGTGTACCCCTTGCTTTTAAAGGTCCATACCCCCCTCTGTGTTTAAGGCTATCAGCAAGAAAGCTTAATCTGTGCCTGATGTACTCTTGGAAGACTGTTTGGCATGTTAAAATTAAATGTGGGTAAGAAACCCTTTAAAGATGCATTTATTTGTACTGTTCTCTAATGCTCAATGGGCTGATGGCTATGGTTAGACTGTTTTGGTTTCAAACAGCGAAGGAAAGTGGTCAAGATCTTGATAGCATCGACTGCAATGTGTGAACGTAGAAAGTTTGTTAACAATCTTGACTTCACTTAGTAGAAGCAATTTTCCTATAATGTCAAAATAGTCAGCCCTGTTGAGAAAGCTGCTAGTATATCTAATGGCATAAATATTCTAAAAAATGGTCCCATAAGTTTTTAATTCATTGACATCACAGTCGCTCATTGGGTTTGCATATCGGGGTAGTGCCAGTATTAGATGGGGCGGTTGTGCTTTTCTGCCTCTTGATCATTGATGACACAGGTTACCTATAGTAGTGAGGTGCAATGAGTAGATATCCACTGCTGTAAAACTACAAATCCTAACATCTCTGGAACTGGCAGAGTATAGTGGAGTATAATTCTGACAGCTTAATGCTTCATTGAAAAACTTTAAATCGTAATATATAATCTTTTACAGGTGATGGTCCAATCTACAGAGACATATTGATCAGCTGCAATGTGGTTTCACCACTCTTATCCTTAGTGACACCACAGACACCGGTACATAATTTTCTACATGTTTCCAATCTTTTAAATACTTTTAATGCTGTTGGTGTTAGCAGATAGTAAGCATGCCAAGTCGGTCTGGCTACCAAATTACTAACTAAAGCCAAATTGAATGCTTTAGTTAGTAACTTGGTTAGTAGCCCCCAGCTAATCTTGCTGGCAGCCAAACAACTTTGCTTTCTGAGCACTCACGGAACGTTACAATTGTGTTGGATGAGATGAATCCATGATGGAATTCACCAGTACTCGCTTGTAATGTGCAAGAAGCATAAACACTTTTTTTTTTTATGCATCCGAGCCAACATTTCAGGGCCACGCAGGGTTACTATGTTGCCTTGGGGAAGGGACCCTGCGTGGCCCCCGAATGTTGGCTCTAGGACACGTGACTCGCCAAAAGTACTTATGCTTCTTGCACATTACAAGTGCTGGTGACTTTCATTATTGATTGGACTGTGGCACGGCACCATCTATGTCGTCACTTTGAGCACCAACAGCTATTTCGCATGGTCAAAGCGCTGCATGGAGTGCAGGTGATTTACTACTACAAGATGGATGAGACTATCACTGGTTACAATTTTGCAGTATAGAAAATTGTATACTTGGTAGTTGCCTGAAATGTTAAAGGAGAACTATGGGGTTAAGGCTTTTCCCCATAGTTCTCAGGGTAACGGGAGGACACAAACTAGCGACCTCCTGTCACCCTAGGCTCAGTATACAGCTCGCTGTAGCTCGCTGTATACTGAGACGCCACAGCTGAAGCGGATCCCGACAATTGTGCCGGGATCCGCCCAGCTGCGTGACTGACAGCTGGCTCTGCCTATCTAGAGGCAGAGCCAGCTGTACCTGCCCCCTCCCCCGTCCGTTCCGCCAGTCAGCGCTGGCGGATCAGGGAGGGGGGAATCAAGCCCGTCCCCTGTCACGGCAGAGAGCCGTAACAGGATCGAGAGGTGAGCGAACGCCGGTATGTCACAGGTCTGCTAGAACTATGAGGTGAGTGAAAATCACTCACCTCATAGTTCTCCTTTAAACTCACCCCGATTTGCTACTGCCTAAAGTTAAATCTCTCATGACGATAGTGCTGCTGGTGATCGAATTGCTTGTCTGACACGACCTTAGAGGTGAGCGAATAGACATGCATAAATGACAATTCAGTGCTTTTTTTTCAGAGCTAATTGGCAAGTTACAGCTTTTATATTGCATACAAATCTAAATTGTCAAACTTTAGCCAATCCGATTCTATTGGTGAGTACATCAGCGATACGACAGACATCTGATGCATTTCAAACATATAAGTGCCAGGATAGCTACCCATCATCCCACATTGCCAAAATATATGAAGAAATGTATAAAGGCATGCTCGTGCCATCTGACGTTACTCTTAATAAAGAAATTAGTCCAACCCAGCCCAACCTTTTGTGCAAGTTGAATATTTATTTAAATACTACTAGGCATTAAAGTGGATCTTTCCCCATATCTTTTTAAAATGGCAAACACCTTTTAGGAAGGTTTAGTAATGACCATCTACAAATATATATATATACTTCTAGATAATTGCCTTCTTTGTATTCTTTGCATACCTTATTTCTCTTCTTGACCAGTCTTCTGACAGTGGTCATGCTTACTAAGGGCAGATTACTAGCTATCCTATTACTTCCTGAATTTCTGGCACATGTGATCATGCACATCTCGGACGGAAAATACCTTTCCCTGAGATCTTGTGAGATTACAGATGAGATTTCCCAGCAATGCTCTGCTGATGACAAGGCATTGCTTTGGCAAACTGAAGTCATTTTGCCCTTTCAAAACAGGAAGTGAATGCTCTGCAAGTGTTTCAAAATCACAGCATTTTACACCTGACATGTTGTTAATCATACATATAAGCGGACTCGCATCAAATTCTACCAATGCATTCCTCTAAGATGTTTTTGTTTTTATGCAGGGTTTTCTTTATCTTTTCAGATTGGCTTTCTCCGGAATATTACTTGGACCTTGTCTAACCTTTGTCGCAATAAAAACCCATACCCACCAATTAGGGCTGTAAAACAAATTTTGCCACTACTAACACAGCTCCTCTACCATGAGGACAAAGAAATCTTGTCTGATACATGTTGGGCAATGTCGTATCTCACAGATGGGTCCAATGATAGGATTGATGTTGTTGTGACAGCTGGAATTGTAGACAAGATAGTGCAGCTAATGCACAGCCAAGAGCTCAACATAGTGGTAAGTAATCTTTAGTCATAATGATTTCACTCATTTTATGCCAGTATTATGGATGGGCCGAAAATGGCACTTTTTGGCAAAATGGCAAACTTTTAGCTGAAATAGCGTTGCATCTGTGCTTTCTTACCATGACTACAATATTTTTGTTTCTCTTTTCTTTCTCCACACTCAGACACCAGCTCTACGTACTATTGGGAACATAGTCACAGGAACTGACAAGCAGACCCAGGTAGCCATCGATGCAGGAGTCCTGTCTGTCCTGCCTCATCTACTTCGGCATTCTAAGCCTAGTGTTCAGAGGGAGGCAGCATGGGCTCTTAGTAATATTGCTGCAGGACCAGCTCCACAGATTCAGCAACTCATAACTTGTGGCCTCCTTCCTCCACTTATCGATCTTCTCAAAAAGGTAACTGGACTTTACCAAATGTATGTGTTTTTTGTTTTTTTTTGTTTGTTTTTTTTTCTGCAGGCAATTCACCTGTATTCCCTTGTGTAGATTTTTGAGTGTTATATCGCTTGTATTGCTATCTTCTTGTACTCTGGGCCGGATTTCCCACAAGGCCACCAAGGCCTGGCCTCAGGGCAACGGTGGTGTGGTATTCCTATCGGCCGACGCCTGGGACATGCAGTTCTGGGTGTTGGGCGGGCAGTGTTTTTGTTTTTTGTTTTTCTCCTACATTTTGCTCTGCTTCGGGCAACCAAAGCTAAATGTATAGCAGGGAAGCCACTTGTTTTTGTACAAGTGATTTCAGTGATGCCACCGAGATCACTTGTATGCAGCCTGCAGTTCTGTGTCTGACCCCAGAGAACCGGTCACCTCCAAATGCTATCACACAAAAGGTTTGTTCGCTCCTGTGTGACAACGATAAAGTTAAGTGACAAAAATAGGATACATAAAGAATTTATAAAATAAAAACATGATAAAGAAAATTATGAAAAATAAGTAAAAGATAATGAGAGAAATAAAAATTAAAGTTAAAAAAATAACAAACAAAAATAAAATAAAACCAACCCTGTTGCCCCCATCTGGTTGCTATACTTTTCAGTGAACAATGGTTAAGATGGTGTTTCTAAAGGGTCTTGTGGCTTGCAAACATTAAAGCCCAACTCCAGCCAAATTTGACAGGGGCATGGATTTAAATTATAATTTAGTTCTGAGGCCTGATGTTAAACTGAAAAATGTAATACAATGGAAATTACACAAACTGTGGTTAACCCCTTGCCATCCGCCCATCATAAAAATGTGGATGGCTAATGCTTACCCTTTGTTTTTCTTCTCTCCCCCTCCCCCCCCCTTCTGCTCGCTCACCCAGTTGCCAGCTGTTGCATAAAATTAGCCAATTGCTTGTTTGACCCTGCACTGTGCGGGCCCCCTCTGCTGCCAGTTAGCCCTCCCTGCAGTGCCCAGGACAGAACACTGGCACAGCGGCTACTAGGAGGAGAGATCTGCCTTTAGAGAGAAGGAGAGCAGCGGTGGGGGAAATGCTGAAGTGAGCAATAATTCTAGGGCCATTAATCACTGACATATCAGTAAAAGCTTTTAATGCTTTGCATATGGCCAATTTTGGGCATGGTAGTATTTTGCAATGACGCGGACGCACACAATTTTAAAGCTTGACATGTTTGGTGTCTATTTACCCGATGTGACCCCATCTTTTCTATTTGACCAAGAAATGGGGTCATGTTTTCTATTATAACGTAGGGGAAACAGGGGTTTTTTTTTGTGTGTGTGGGGTATTTTCTTTTCAAAATTTTAATAGATATATATCGATAGAGAGATAATACCACCAAAAGAAAGCTGTGTCCCCCCAAAAAATGTATAACTGTCATTTCAGTACAGCATTCAGTACAGCATAAATTTCAAAGTACCGCAGTGCTGAAAAATGGCCTGGGCAGGAAGGATTTAACACCCTGGTCAGCCAGTGGTTAAGGAGTCCAAATTAACTTTGATCATTCATGTGATCAAGCTGGATGATCAACAAACTTTGGGGCCTTTAAATCCCCCCTTCAACAGGGCTTAGATGTGCAAACATGTATGGACTTGTACATTAGAAAGACCCACTTACATTTTTGGTACTGTATAGTACTATAAGTCTAAACTGTACAAATTTAACTGGGTCATGAGTCCATAAAAGTTCAGGGAATTTTTAGCCCCCTAAAACATGTTGCCTGTCCTGCTTTATCTCATGGAACATTTTATTTGGACTCTTGGCACTAGTTTAGCTCAGTTTTGTTTGTCTGGAACAGAACCATAGAACAAAACTGGAAGGTTAATTGGCTCCTGTCTAAATTGGCCCTGTATGGGTGCATGTGAGATGAGGACCATAGACTGCAAGCTCCTTAAAGGCAGGGACTGATGTAAATGTGCAACTATGTAAAGTGCTGCGTAAATTGTTGGCACTATATAAAAAAACAGAGCTGCTGATTCTTTAAGAACAGACTCAAAGGAGCTATTCTGCTCCATGAATTAGATGAACGTCTGGTTAGATCAAATCACTGGGGTTAATTTAATAAAGGCAAACAGGCTGTTCACTTTGCAAGGGAATTGACACTTTGCGGGGGGATTTTTCCCTTACCTTAGTGAATGAGGTGAAGATCTGCTGACTTCAATCATCCAATCATGTACAAGCAACAGTTTTTAGTTTTTCTTGTTTGTGATTGGATGTTCTTTGCAAAGTGAATTTTTTACCCCATTCATAAGCTAATGGTGAATTCTCCTGCAAAAACTAAAGACCAATTACAGCCTAGGGGCAGTCCCTGCCGGTGGCCAAACCCCCCACCTGCTGACAAGTCTACAGTTTTTTGGATTGCGTCAGGAGTAAGGAGCTAAGAATTTTTTCTCGGTATTCTTACCTGCTTCTTCCAGATTTATTTATTTTTTTTCAGAGGATTCTTCTAGCAAGTGTTGTCTGGGCGACAGGCTGGATGTCTTGGATCCTTGGAGTCTCCTCTGGATGACCAGCGAGCGTATGCAGGCCCGCTGCGGTGGGTCGGCTGCGACGGCCCCGCTCCGCCTGTGGGTTCGTCCCAGGGGGGTGCATATGACTGGGGGTCTCGGCCGCCCAGTCACAGCACTTCCCTCAGGCTGCTGGCGCCGCGGCTGCGGTCGGGGGCGCCAGTTTCCGCAGCGCACCTGTGGTTTTTTTGATGTCCCCTGCGCTGCGTTCGGCATGGAGGGGGGTGCCTGGTCTGCGGATGGCCCGCATCCTCCTGGGGTATGTATGGGGTGGGGGGTCCGCTGGCGCGTGCCTGGATTCCTTGGCTCCTGCCCTCCCTCCTCCCCCCTCGGTCACCTTCTGGGTTCGCGTCGGGGTGTTGTGGCCCTGTGGGTCCTTACCTGGATGCACCAGGTCGGGTCATGGCGGATCTGGACCGGTGGAGGAACCATTCCTCTGCGTCAGGGGGCGGCCTGCGGGTGCTCCTGAGTGTTTCGGGGTCGGTCTGAGGTCCTGGTGCTGGCGGAGGCTTTTGGCCTCTGGCGCTGCTGGCCGCTCGGTTCCGTTCGCGGGGGCCGCTAATCGAGCCCCCGGCTTCGTTTGCGGCCTTCTCGGAGGCTGAGGCCGCCATCTTTGGTGTGGGCGCGTGCGCCCTCGGCCTGACGTCACTTCCGGTGTGCCGCTTCTGGGTCCCTTTACTTGCGCGTCACCCGGCCGGATCGGTCTTTCACGCCGGGACGCGTCGGGTGAGGACGCACTGGGACACTGGGAGTTCAGGTGATGTAGGAGGGTCATCTGCCTGCAGGTCTGTTGCTAGTGGCAACTGCGGCAAAAGGCCTAGGGGCGGTGTCTGCTGGGGTCTCCCTACTTGCCTGGGGCTCTGGTTTGGCATATATTTGCCGGGGACATGGATTGTGGGGACAAACTGACCGCAGTGCCCTGTGAGGGCTGCGGCCTCTCTTCAGGGACCTCTCCCACATCCCCCCCTTTGCGCAGCCTGTGCTTCTGCGCCCCTCTCCCAGTCTCCCTTGGTGTCTGCAGGGTCTTTGGGGGGGTCCGCTGGCGCAATGTTATCCTTGGAGGCTTTTTCCTCCACCATGGACAGTTTTTTGTGTCCTGTATGGAGCGCGCGCTGTCGCAGCGCCCCCCACGGAAGCGCGCTTTGCCGGCCCCCTCACCGGTCCTTTCTGGGGATTCTGAGGAAGAGGGGGAAATTTCTGCTGCGGCCGCGCAGCACGACCAGGGGGACTCCTCTCAGGCGGAGTCTGGTAGTGACGACGAGTCTGGGACCACCCTTATGGTCCAGGAGCGTGAATTGGTCACGGCCTTGGTTCGCGCTGTGCGGGAAACGCTGAAAATTGAAGAGACTCCGAGCTCTTCGGCGCTCCCGCCGGTTCCTTTTGGGACGCACAGGAGTAGG